GCCACAGTCCCGGCTCCATGTTCTTTGAATGGAGGTAACTAGGGAAATGACGTCAATATGCAAGAAAAGGTCCTTAAAGATTATATTAACTGCTGGAGGTGTAGCACAGTGATAGCTTGTTCAGTGTGTACTAGGACCCAGCAAGGAAGAAAATTAAATAATCATGCACCTACAGTGCAGTAGGCATTATGCTGGGTATCAAAGTGATGGACTGGGCTACGGAATAAATACAAGGTCAAGTCGCGTCCTTCCAGGCTCTCTGAGACAAAAGTGGTTTGTTCATTTGTGTTTATTTTTTGAGACAGGGTCTCATTCAGCTCCAGCCAGGTTTGAACCTATATGGCTAAGGATAACCTTGAACTCTGACCTCCCTGCTTCCACCTCCTAAGTGTTGGTTTGACTGTGCAATCACAGCACCTGGTTCTCAAGGAAAACAGTCTGCAGATCTCTGTAGATCTGTCTTCGGGAAGCCTCGAATGCTTGCCAAAGAAGATTTTGTTGATGCCTTGGCACTCCCAGGAAGTGTATGGGAGCTGAAGAGGAGCAAGATGTTTCTACACCTCATCCGCAAGTGAGAACTGAACCAGTGACAACATGGTTTCCCAGGATAAGGCAGTCATTAGTGGGGCCCAGAATGCCTGGGTCCCGTAACAGCCACTCCTTTGAAACTGCCCTGACTTTTGCCCTTTCGGCCCTCTAAAATCCTTTGGCTGAAGGAACTCTTTGTTCTAGTTACTTTTCTGTTGCTGTGATAAGACACTGACCAAAAAATTTGTTTGGCCTATATTTCCACATCATAGTCCATCATTGAGAGAAGTTGGGGGAAGAACCCAAGGCAGGATCTTGGAGCAGAAACTGGAGCAGAGAGCATGGAGAAACACTGTTCATTGGTGTGCTGAGGTGGTGTGAAGAGGTATGGCCCCATAGACTCACGGGTTTGAATGCTTGACCATACGGGGTGACACTATTAGGAGGTGTGACCCTGCCGGAGTAGGTGTGGCCTTGTTGGAGGAAGTGTGTCAACTGTGGAAGAGGGCTTTGGGGGTCTTATATATGCTCAAGTCACAACCAGTGGGACCGTCTCTCCCTGCTGCCAGTGGATCAAGACAGAGCTCTCAGCTCCTTCTCCAGCACCGTGTCTGCCTGACACTGCCACGCTTCCCTCCACGATGATAATGGACTAAACCCTGAAACTGCAGGCCAGCCCCCAACTAAGTATTTTCCTATAAGAGTTGCTATGATCATGGTGTCTCTTCACAAGAGACATCCTAACTAAGACACAGGCCATCCAGGGCTACATAGTGAGACGGACTCTCTCTGTCTCTCTGTCTCTCTCTGTGTCTGTGGCTGTGTCTGTCTCTCTCTCTCTCTGTCTCTCTCTCTCTCTCTCTCTCTCACACACACACTCTGTGGCTGTGTCTGTCTCTCTGTCTCTCTGTCTCTCTCTGTCTCTCTCTGTCTCTCTCTCTCTCTCTCTCTCACACACACACACACACACACACACACACACATTTCAAGGTCTATTGTGAAGCTCTGGATAAAACACAGGCCCTACCTTCAAAGACGCTGCTCAGTTGCAGCCTCACTGTCCCTTCCATCCCCTCTGTCTCCCATAAAAGTCCCCAAGACAGACCACTGAGGCACTGATCCTACTAATTTCTTCAAGGCTGGCTTCGAATAAACTTGATTACTTCCAACCAACACTTGTGTTTAAATTTTGCTCATACCATGCAGCAGGCAACTGGGGTATTTAGTTCCAATAACCACTCCATCCACTAAATAAGTCTCACTGCAGTCTGCTGTGTCAATCTAGAACTCAAGGACACTGGCCTTTCAAGATAAATTCTTTTCTTTCTTTGTGTGTGTGTGTGGGGGGGGTGTACGGGGCTATATATGTGACTACATGTGTACATGTCCACATGCATGTGGACAATGGAGGTCAATGTTGAATGTCTTTTTCAACCTAATCTCTTTATGTGTGTGATTATTTGTGACAGGGTCTCTCCCTGAATCTAGAACTCACCGATTGGCCAGACTTGCTGGACAGAAGTCCCCAGAGATCCTTCTGTCTCTCTGCCTTCAGAATGCTGGGGTTACAGGTGCATGCTACCCTATCCAGCCTTTTATGTGGGTGCAGGAGCTATTCGGTCCCTGGGTTTGCATGGCAAGCACTTTATTTTACTAAGTCATCTCCACATCTCTGAGATGAATTTGTATAACAATTATCTCACTAAGCGTCCTGCAATTGGCTAACCTGGTGCGTTTGAAGGTCTACCTTTTTTCCATTCCTCTTTTTCATGTTACACAAGTTGGGGCACAGACCATTTTCAAAGGAAAACAGTAAGAACTGGCGCATCTGAGTGGATTATGTCACAGCTACATTAAAGTCAACTTATGAATCAATTACCCCAAAGAAATACTATTGGAAACAATGAGGGTGGCCACATATTGATCACCCAGTCCTTGTGAGATGTCTAAGTGCTCTATGCTTAGCCTACAAGATCCAGGTTTTAAGAGGCTTGAGGCTTCTGCAGTTCAAAGGGCCCTTCCTGGGAAGGAAAAAAAAATGGACACAGACTTTGGAAGGACCTGTGCAAGCGAGCAAAGGACCCAAGCTTATACTTCATGAGCTTCATGGAAATACAGCTGGCTGTCCAGGATAGCTTACATTTCCCATCTGCACTTGTACAAGAAATGCATTGAGGCATAGAGAAGATAAGTCACTTGCCCAAGGTTAAAGGTGGAGAGCGGCACATTTAGGATTTGAACACAGGGTATCCGATTCATAATCTCATACAGTTTCTCACAATTGCTATCATTTCATTAAAAACTGGCTATATGGGGGAGGACATAAGCTTTTCTTGGAAATTCTTACAGTGTTTCTAAAAACCGCAGTCATTATTGTCAGTGCCTACAGACAAGGAAACATGAATACAAATATTATAGGCTGGAGGTGAAGAGTGTTTGTCTAGCATGCAAGAAACCCTGGTTTGATCACAGCATTGCATAAACCAGGTGTGGCAAAGCACACCTGTCACCCCAGCTCTCAGGACATGGAGGCAGGAGGGTCAGGAGTTCAAAGGTCATTCTCAGCTCTGTAGTGTTTGAGACCAGCCTGGGCTACATGAGACCCCCCCCCCAAGGGGAAAAAAAAGATTAACAGAGTCACGTGTGGTGGTACATACTTGTGATCCCAGCACCTGGGAGTCTGTGACAGGCGCTATGTGCTCAAGGACCAGCCTGGGCTACACAGCCAGACTGCCTGAAAAGGAAAATCTACAAGATTCAGCAAGCAGTCCCTGATGACTCAATGGTACCACATGGAGACAACATCCATTCCCTGCACTTCTCAGCTGTGCGGTCCTTCCTGGTCCTTTCCTCCGCGTGGTTTGACCCTACAGACACCTAGGCAAGTGCACACTGGTAACCTATAGTTGACCTAAGACATCTCCTAAACCATCTGCTGAAACTAGCCCATTTCCTTCCCACCAGACACCACATGGAGCACCGCTCTGGAGCTGCGGTCTATGGTGCAGCTCTGTAAGTCCCCTGTACGGTCACTTATCAGCCAGGTGGCTTCCCACTGTGGCCAACAGAAACTCAAGTCCTATAATGCTGCTTCCCACATACCCCTCTGTGGATGAAACTGAATTCAAAAGAATCAAGAGTGGTTACAGCTGGGGTACTAGGAGAACCACTTATCCTACCAGACCCTCCCCCCAAAAAATATCCTGACTGTTGTGTCTCTTAGCTCAAGCCACCAAAGCAAGAGTCTAAGACTAGCCATGAATTTAGATGTGGGGCATAGAGAAAGGGTTTGTTTTTGTCCTTGAACACCCAGGCTCGCTCGGGGAAACAACGGTCTTTGAGACTCTTACACAGTGGGCCTGGTCTTCTCTTGGCAATGCCATCTCATTAAAACTCAAAGGGAGTTTTGCATTGATACTTTAAAAGAAAGTCTTTATTGCCAGATTCCAAGTAACTGGTTATTGGTGGAAATCTGCTTAGGGACTTCACCTACGGCCATCTGGAATAACTGGAGTATGCCGTTTTCCAGTAGACCAAGCCTAAGCTTTGTACCTGGGAGACAGCAATACGGACCAGCAGAACATCATGCATAAGTAAGCTAATGAGAACGATACTCCAGAGGTTTATTTGTATGTCCAAGCATTTTTAAAGGAGAGAGTGATCCTAACAGCTCTCTCCTGTTCCTCTTTCCACTCTGCTTGGTGGATGTGGGTGAAAGGGTATAAGAAAGGAATGACAGGGCAGTCCCAGGATGGAGTCTCCCACATGACCAGGTTTGCAGCCCCAATCATCTGCTCTGAGAAACAAGTCCAGATCCTTAAGGTGTCTAAAGGCACCCACCCCCAAGTAATGTCTGAGAAGAGCAAGGATGAAACAGAGACAAGGCGACAAGGCTGTCTGCGAGACACAAAGCCACCAAGCACTGACTGTGATGGGTAAAATGTCACCCACTCAAAACGCCTGGCCTGTTTGCCAACCGCCTTGCCCTACCCTGCCCAGGAAGTCAAGAACACAATAGAACTCTCACCCATTTCTCATCCTCAGCCCCACTCCACTTCAAAGGCCGGGCGGGCAGCCAACAAAACCTGCCTCTTCTGCGGTGCTTTTATGCGTTTCTGTTTCTTCGTGAGAGCGAGGAAAACAGGGCTCAGATTGAGTGGGTGCCAGGAGGGGTGGGGAGAAATGCTAACCACAACGTAAGTGCAAAGCTTTCTTAAAAGTCAAGATCTGAAAACTTACGGGTTAAAGGGAACAGTCACCTCAAGCCTCCCCATCCTGCCAAGCCCGGGACACAGGGTCAAATGAGGGCTGTGTTCTGCAGGGTCAGTGCCAGCACGACTCTCCCCACGCAAGAGTCCGCAGTGGGAGGATGGCCCGGAAAGACACGCGTGCGCGAACACACACACACACACACACACACACACACACACACACACACACACACACACACACACACGCCCAGCCTGCCTCACCTTCTCGATTGTCTGGTCCACCGCCTTCTGGAAGACTCGAGCCACCAGCAGCGTGACACTAGCCACCAGCAGCAGCAGGGACAGTGTCCCCGCCGTGTAGAAGCAGCATCTGCCCATACTGCGCGTGGCTCACGGGTCGGGCCCGCGACCCAACTGCGAGCGGGAAAGAGTCGCCGCCAAGGCCGCACAGTTGTCGCCCGAAGCCCCGGGGCCCTGCGGTTCCCGCGCCCTCCCGGTGCCGGGTCAGCCGCCGCCCGCGCAGTGGGCACAGCTCTGGAGGCTGCGCGCGGCGAGAGCACGGCCCTCGGATCACCAAGCCGGCACGATCGCGGCTGCCGGGGCCGCCTGGGTTTCGCTTTCTTGGGCCGCCAGGGAGGTGCAGGGGGCGTGCAGAGCGGTGACGCGGGCCGGTGGGGCTCGCCAGCAACCCCGCGGCAGTGGCGGCGGCGGCGGCGGGCGACTGCGCTGGGGAAGCGGGCGGGGCCTGGCGGAGGCCACCAGTCATGTGCCCTGCAGCGGCTCCAGCGATTCGGCGGGCGCCGCGCCTGCAACCTCTCCCTGCAGGCGGCGCGATAGTCCCGGGAACTGACTCGCCCTTCCCGGTTCACTCACCCGCTTTCTTTATGGGGCGGATCCGTGCTGCGGGCCTACTATGGGCCAAGCTTGGGGAACTCGAATGGACTTGCCGTTTTCCTTGCTCCAGGGGAGCTCCGGGGTTCATTGGAAGATTTTAGCGCAGTGTAAGATGCATGCTAATCTGTGCAGCAGCGACATTTGCCCTCGTTGGGTTGAGCCGGGTCTCCAAGAATATGTAAGAGTGTGTCCTCAAGAAAGAGACAAGGCGCCAGGCGATGGTGGCGCACGCCTTTAATCCCAGAACTCAGGAGGGAGAGGCAGGAGGATCTCTGTGAATTCGAGGCCAGCCTGGTCTACAAAGCAAGGCGTTTCACGACCGAGGACAAAGGCAGTAAGAGTGAAAGCAAAACCCTGGAAAGCAAGAAGGGCTTTGCTGTCGAGTAGACTCATGTGTATAGGGAATGTGGTGCCGAGCCCTTGGAGACCAGCTTTGAAAGGCCCTCTGTGTCCTAATGAAGGGTGTTAGCAGAGAAGCGTTTGACACGTGTCTATTATCTGCTTTGGTCACCCAGGTACAACGACCTGGGCATGCACACAACAAGAGCTCAGTAAATGTTAGTTGAATGAGGGTTAGTTCCGTGCCTGGCCTTTACTAGTGCACACGCACGTGTACACGCACATGCACACGCACCCACACACATTAATCCCCACAGCAGCCCTGTCACACAGCGGTTAGCTATATCAGTTCTCCAGAGAGAAGCACTGTACAGCTTTACAAGGGGCACCGGAGCTGGGATGCGGGTGTGATTGTCAGTGATGAGAAGAGGCAGCGCGGAAGGCTGGGTGGAAAGAGGTGCCTGGCAAAGCCATGGGGGGAGGGTGGTCCTTGAGCATGTCCCAAAATTCTGACACATCACAGATGCAGGCCTGCCTTAAATGTCCCTAACGGGCTTAGTCAGCTGACTGGGAGCAACCTTGAGAAGTAGGTCTTTAGCAACCGGGGGCTAAATACCAGGGGATAGATTTCAGTAGTGCCCAGCCTCTGAGACTGCCATCTTCGGGGAAAATCCAATCCGGGAGGACTTTTTTTTTTTTTTTTTTTGCTAGTCTGTTCCCTTTATCATTAAGGATTCAGCCAAGGAGTGAGGGAAAGCACTCAAAAGACAGTTACACTGTTGCTGATGGACTATGCAGTGAGTCACACTCAAGATCTTTGCACCTGCACAGATGTCTTTTCTCTTCACAATTCCCAAACAATAGTGTAACTATTTCTACAGCATTGCGTTGTACTAAGGATTGTGAGCGATCTAAAAATTGAGGCAGAAGGAAAGATGTGTGTAGGTTTTATGCACACACCTTGCAGTTTCTCTCTCTTTTATTCTTTTACTTTTTACTATGCTGTTTTTGTTTCTTTTGTCTATTTTTTTTCAATTTTAAGAAAGGGATTCATGTATCCCAGCCTGACCTCAATCTTGCTACACAGAAAGATGATGAACTAATCTTCTTGCCTCTACTTGTAACCACTTGTGAGTACAGGTATTCACTATTTCCCGTTTGTGATGTCCTGGGGCTCAAACCCAGGACTTCTTGCATGCTAGGCAAGCACTCTACCTACTGTAGTTATGTCCCCTATCCCTACTATGCCATTGTCTATAGGGATCGGGGCATCTGCATAAGCCCTAGACTCAATCTGCTAAGGATTCTGGGGAACACTGAATCACTTCGAAGGTCCAATCAGTTGCTGAGCGGGCAGCAGCTCTCGATGATGCAAGATGCAGGGCCATTGGCTTCCAAAGCCCTCACTGTTTCTACTCTGTGACTGCTGAGAGTCGGGGATGGGATGGAGAGGCTTGGCTGAGGAGCTGGTGAGGTGGAGTGATGGAATGGGAATGGCGACCCATTCTTTACACTTCTGCTGAGAGGAACTGATGCTTCCTTCTGTTTTTGGTTTATGACAGCACTGGTTTGTTAGACCAATAAAACACAGTATGAATGACTGCATCTGGGAGCAGCTGCTTCCTGTTTCTGCTGTCTAAACTTTTGAGACAGTCATGTGGATTGCCTGGAACTCGATATGTAGGAGGATAATCTCGAACTTTGGAACCTCCTGCCTCTACCCACCAATTGCTCTGCTCTGTGCCCCAGTTTAAGGGGACATGCTAAGTCCCTGATCCTCACTTACCCCCTTCTCAGGCATGGGTTTGAATTTTGCTGCAAACTCTGTGTCCTTTCTTTCCCTAACTAGGAAAAAGTAGGCTTTTTTTCTAAGTAGCCTTCGGTGCTTATCCCTCCCAGGTTCATGTTCATACGACTCCTATCCCCAACTCTGATTTCTTTCTTTCTTTCTTTCTTTCTTTTTTTTTTTTTTTTTTTTTTTTTTTGGTTTTTTCGAGACAGGGTTTCTCTGTATTGTTTTGGAGGCTGTCCTGGAACTCACTTGGTAGACCAAACTGGCCTCGAACTCACAGAGATCCGCCTGCCTCTGCCTCCCGAGTGCTGGGATTAAAGGCGTGCACCACCACTGCCCGGCCCCACCTCTGATTTCTAAATCACAGTCTATTTGATGGTTTATCCTGGAGCACAAACTCCATAGACAACTACCAGCCATTCCAGCCCTGATCCCTAATTCCAGGACAGCGCCTTCTTCAGTGTCATATATGTGTGCTCCATTACATTATTTCTCTCAGTCTCCTCCCTCAACCCCTCCTGTCCCCCCACCCAAGTCATGGCCTTTTAGATTACTGTTTATATGTGTGAATGACTATATTAATACAACCCGCTGTGTCTATTTAGTGCTGCATATATTAGGACCGACCACTTAGTACTGGATAACCAGTCAATGACTTCATCCCTGAGGAAGATTGATTCTCCCTCTCTCATCAGTCATTAACTGCCTCTAGCTCTTCATCTAGGGGTAGGAGCTTGTGCGCTTTCCTCCATCCATGGTGGCATGTCATTGGGTGGCTTTGAATTCACTACAACTACCCTACCCCACCCACTCCACCCCACCTCAGTCTCCTGGGTGCTGGGACTACAGGCATGAGCCATTAAGGTCCATTTTGCCTCGTTTATTTGTTGTTTGAGATGATCTCATTGTGTAGTCTAAGCTGGTCTCAGACTCAAGGTCTTCTTGCCTCAGTTTCCCCAGTGTTAGGATCACAGATGTGCACCATAATGTCAGATATGTGAGGTCCACCCTTCCTGTCTTTGTCTGAGTCACTGAAATAGAGTGTGACGATGGAGCCAGATGTGAGAACATAGCTCAGTGTCTGCACAAGGGCTTTTGTCCATTGGTCCTCAGTTTACCTCCCCAACAAAGCTCTTCTGCTATTTCTTCTGTGTCTGCTTCCCTTTAAATCTCTGGCCCAAGTTGGACAAAACCCCCTTTTTTGCTTCCTTTTAGCACAGCTGACCAGAACAGGGTTCAAAAAATGTACCAAACACAATAACAGAACAAGAACGCCCCAATTACAGAAAATAAAAACAGCTTTTGAAAAACAATGTGTGTTCCCAAAATTAGATGCTATAGTTCCATAGCAATTTCCATCTTATCCTATTGCCTGGCACAGCCTGGCCCAAACGCCCTCCTGCTCAGTTCCATCTTCGCTCCCATGTGGCAGTGACTTTCATGAAATTTGGGCCTGATTCTGATCAGCTTCGCAGTGCCCTTTGGGACTTCCTCATTTCTGGCCTATGAGACATACGGAGCTATTATTTTAATTGCCATAGGATCATCTCACCTAAAGGTGAAATGCCACCCTCCCCTCCAGAGTGAGGCCCTAGCTTGCCAGGCATGCAGGCAAAGAGTTCTGGGAAAGTCAGGTACTTGGGCAAGGTCAGCACCCCTACGAAGGAGAGGCTGTCCCTGCAAAGGAGACAGAGGGTTTCCCAATGGCCTGTCTTGTACATTAAAGTCAGAATATTTCATCCAAGAAGAACAAGGACTGCTTGTTGATATCTCACAATTCAGAACTCAGAAATGAAGAATTCTCCGAGATTGTGTAACAGGAGAGGGAGAGAACACTTTCTATCACTGTTTTAACATTACTTTTTGGTTGGGGGGGGGGCAGGGTATCACTGGTAGCCTGAATTGGCCTGGAAGTTGCTGGATAGCCCAGGCTTTCCTGGGGCTCAAGATTCTTGTACCTTGCATGCCTCCACCTTAACTTTAGAATACTGTGTCATACTCATGAGGTCAATCACGGTCATTGTATACCTTTCTGTAAACATTTATTGTACACCCAAGGCCTCAGATGGGCTAGACAAGCATTCAACCACCCAGCTACACCCAGCAATATAGCACACTTTTCAATAACCCTGTGTAGTTTCCAATGTCACTGCCAATCCGTCTTGTTCTTTTTTTTTTTTAATTTAAATCGTCTTGCTGCTTAACTCATCGTGTAAGTAGTTTAACCTCCCCTCCACCCCCACCCCCTCACCCCCGCTGGTCTGGCATTTTCTCCTGCCTTTGTCAGCAGAGTGCGACAGAGCCCACACAACTCTGAGGCTGTGAGACCCAACAGGAACCAGCCCCTCCATTA